CCTCGCGTCTGCAGCAGCTCGGTGAGCTCCTTCGGAGAAGGATGGCCAAGGTTCCTGTGAAGTCGCTGCACGATGCGGATGGCCTGCTGCCAGGTGTCAGCTCGAAGTTGAACCAGGGTCGACGCAACTTCGCGTTGCTCATTGGAAGCATAGCTGGTCTCCCAAAGCTGTGGTGGTTCATCAAGTGAGATGGCTGCAGCAAGTGTGGAAGCCAAAGCCGGCTGGTAGTCCTCCATGTAGCGGGTCCGTGACCCATAGCCACAGACTGCCTTCCAAGGTGCAATGATCGTGATCTCCTTGACAAATGAGGGTCATGGCATTCTGGAGTGCCTTCTTGGAGGTGAGAAGTGTGGTGCTCTTCTTCACAGGCCGCCATTGTTGATCCTCATCGAGGCAAGTTGCTCCATAGCGGCATTGGTCGAAATCGGCCCGATGTCCAGGCAGGTCACGAAGGGCACGAGTGCGCCATGACAAGGCGTGCTTGGGTTGTTCGATATGTCCACGACGGCCTCCTGAGAGCTGGTTCATGTAAACCTTGCGGACGAAGACCAAGTGCCGATCATGGTGGTGTTGCCTTGCAGCAACCAGAGCCTCTTGCTGATATGCAGTGCGGCGAGCGAGGGTCTGCATCCGACTCCAAAGTTTGCACTCAGGTGCCAGGAGAACTTCATCAGTTAGTTCCTCTTCTTGAAGGCGAAGGAACTCTTCTTGATGGTCAAGCAGGTCGAAGTTCCATCCCGTCTCCAGTCCAAAGCGACGCACTGTCATTTCAGAGATTCTGCCACCTGTGAGGTCCGTGCAGAGCCACAGTAGACCTCCCATAGAACTCGCTGGCCATGAAGTTGGCTGGTCAGGTACGCGGACATGTCGTTCAGGTGGGTCCGGAGTTGGATGTCCATGGTCTGCAAGGAATGTTGCCTCAGAGTGTTTGACAGCTGCTCATCCTTGATCTCCTCCTCCCTTCATGTTAGACAAAGCAGCAAAATCATGTTCAGACTGTTCGAAATCTTCCAGCTATATCGGCTTCAGCGGTCTTCAGGCAGAAGTCCGGCTGTCCAGAGGAGATATTCGCCTTGTCGACCGAGTGTGGCTTCTTGCCATCCAGAGGAGCCGATGCAGATACGGCGCATGGCGAAGTCCATGGTCATGCCGAGGGCCTCGATGATGGGTCGGCCACACAGCATTGGAGTGTTGCCAGGCAACAGGAACATCTGGATGGCGCCGTAGCGGCCATCAAGAAACACCGGAAGGTGTACTGACCAGGACGACCAAGATGCAGCATCACCTCCAAACTGGAAGCGGCGTTTCCCTTTTGTCCGCTCAATGTTCTCGACGGGGAAGCCACAGTCCTGCCGAAGATGCTGTAGGTACCGTCGGAAAGGTCCATAGCCTGACAAAAAGGCAGACGCACCAGGGTCCAACATCACGCACTCAGGACGTTCGGCGCCGGTGTAGTCCTGGAAGATGATCATGGCATCCTCTGAAGTCATCACTTGTGCCATGCTCTCCGTGGGTGCAGGCCTTTTGGTGCCGCTGGACTTCGGCGATGACAGTTTGCCGCCCAATGCCCTTGCTGACCACAACGAAGACAAGTCATATTGGCTCGAGCACGACCCTTCGGGTCGCTTTTACCTCCAGTGGACGGTGGGTAGCGGATGGTGTTGCTCTTGTTCTTGCCCTTGGACTTGCCTCCCTTCCCCTTCCCTTTTCGCTGCCAGGAAGAGGAACTCGGCGTCGTGGAAGATGATGCTGCTCCAGCAGCCAATGGGGCTTGTTGGTCAGCAAGTGCAACAACTGGAAAAAATCCGCGAGACATCTTGAGGTCGTTGAAGCGCTTGCGAGCATCAGTGTAGCTTGCGTAGGCCGAGTCAAACTCCTCGGCAAGTTGTTCAGGGCTGTTGGTCTCGTTGGAGCTCTCGGGCCATGGTTCACCGAAGTAGCCCGCCTCATCGTCGAAGGCGAGGTCATCCTCATGGTACTCATCTTGCCCCCAATCATCATCCTCATAGTAGCCCGTTTCTTCTTCGCCCCAACCATCATCATGACCTTCATCCCAGTCATCCTGCGCAGCATAGGCGCGATTGGACCATCGTTGGAAGCGCTTGTTTCTCTCATGGTTCCAACCACCAGACTTATAGTCCTGGCCGAGGATCAAATAGAGAGCCTCGATCACCTGCTGCTTGTCCAAGGTCGGGGCCTTCAGCATGATGAGCTGTCGCTGTTCCTTCGTCAATGCACTGCGGCGAAGGAGATGCCAGCCTTGGACACTGTCAGGAAGTGCGACCTTGTGTTGAAGCAACCGTCGATATGCTTCTTCATGGTCGTTGACAAAGGTCAGGAGAGTCTGCCCAGGTGCTCTCTGAAGCAAATTGAAGTAGTTCTCGAAGTCATTGGGCAGTTGAACTCTCTGACCATAGGCGAAGTTGCCGTCCAGGATCTCCAGAACCTTCTCGAACGAGTCGTCTCGCTCGAGCTTCTCAAGGCTCCAGTCTTCAAAGAGCCGCCAAACCACGCCACGGAAGGAGCCAACGATGTTCAACACGCTCTCTCCTGCACGCTTGGAGAGAGCCATCTTGCGGTGGTAGATCTGTATGCGTTGGCGCCGTTCACGATAGTCGGCAGGTTGGCCTGAGAAGACAGGGACATAGGAATCCCTAACATTCCATGAAGCCGGAGTCCTCCTTGGGTGTAGCCATCGAGCTAGAGCCGGGCTGTGCGGTCTGTGGCTTCTTCTGCTGCTGTCTTCTTTGGTGCGACATCCACCAGGGTGGTGAATGCCACAAGGATCCTCCCCGTAGGGTTTTCCACCAGGTGCTCAGCCAACAGGACCCAGAAGATGTCGGCACTGAGTGGCCACCGCAGACCTTTTCCCCAGCGTGCTGCTCGAAGAAGCGAAGCGCGCAGACGGAGCCCTCCCCCAGGATGGGATCGGGCTCCGCTACCAATGCGAAGAAACCAATGGTAGTCGAAGCCCAAAGGTTCAGGGTGAACAAACACCACAAGCGAATTGGTGGTACGGGATCGTACCGCGGCCGCATAGCCTTTTGGCTGCTTGAGCCCTCCCTTCTCGGAGAGGTGCGATCTAAGGTCGGAACGTGTTCCTACAAATGCACAGCCTGCGTTTCACACCACCATATTGTCACGCATATGGCCAATCCTGGTAGAAGAGGGTTTAACTGAAGTGGTGTGAAGTGAAGAGGGTTCAGTCCCTCAAAATCATTAGCTGTCACAAACTCAAACATGGAGCGGTATGATGGGAAATTCGAAAAAATCTGCTTGATCAACGCTCGAGTACATGGTGAACGGACTTTCCGAAGGCGCAATTCCTCACGGCAGCCACTCTAAGAACTCCAATTGTTTTGTCCAGACAAGTGCGATTTGCAAAGCTGTTGCGCGCAAACGAATTGTTCACGCGCACTCATTTGCTGCGCCTGCAAGTTCAACATTTGCAATCAAAAGAGACTGCGCGGCTCTTTCTCAGGCTGGGTGCATATTTTTTGTAGGGGCATTCAAAAGGCTATTTACGTGGAATGAAATCTGCCCGCAGCGAAGGTGCTGAGGCTGTCGGTAGCGCGTTCGCCGCTTTATAGCTTTAGAGGGGCATTTGGTAACGAAAACGCATATCCTGCATCGCTGTGTTTGGGAGGGGAGTGGGAGTTGGAGAAAACATAGAAAACCTTTGGTTTTCACACGTCGTGTATCCTGTATGTTTGACTATATATGTGTCTCGTCATCGTAGCATTTGCATCACCAGGTGGATGAAAGGCAAACAAACGACACCTCTCAACCATCTATGCCTTAGTTTTCTGTCATGATTGCGTCATACGCGTCAACTGGCTGCAATTGGAAAAGTTCATTGTCGCATCAGCTGGTGGCAATTGTATAGTTTATTGATGTTTATGTGCAAAACGCCTGCAAGTTTATGTAACTCGGACACCCTGAAGGACGCACAACTTCAAGGGGTCCAAAAAATATATCCAACTAACAATGCTTGCAAAATGTAAGACATAACTAAGCAATTTCATTCAATTTGCACGAGGGTCCAAGTATAGAGTGGTTATAGAGACTTGTTTCACTATGTTGGCCCACTTCATGTTGCCTTCGTCTCTAATTATTGCGTCGATCACGCACTTTATACAGTCTATTGTATCTATTCACTCTATTCTTCGACCCCCTTGAAATTGTACTTTTCAGGTTGTCCAAATTCCAAAGTATATTCATACGCAAGCATTGTTGGATATAATACGGCCTTCTGGAAAATGTACAATGTCAAGGGGTCGGAAAATAGATCCAACATGATCCAACAATGATTGCAAGTTGCAAGTAGGACAGAATGTTTCAGACGGTCCAAAAACAAAATTATGTATTGTAGAGAATTCTTCAACCCGTTTTTAGAGCGCCTGGTGCGAGCGGTTGTCGCCGCGAAGCGACCCGAATTCATTGCAAAATAGCCGGGCGTTGTGAATGATGACTTCAACACGCAGCTTAAACCACAAGGTTCATGCGCGCTTTCACCCGCGCTTCGCCGTTTTTAGTGAATCTTGGGCGCAACGTTGATGAACGTTTTGCACATGTTTGCTGAACTGTTGATGCAGTTTCCAAAGGTTCATAACTACACCCGTGAGGAAAGTGCAAGTGTATACCTTTCTGAAAAGCGCATCAACACATGCGCCAAAGCAGGTTCGTCAAAAGTTCAAATTCGTGGCAGACTTACATTTGCATGTTTGGGGGACATGTATGTGAGAAAATATTTGGCATACTTCTGGTCAGAATTTTTGACGCGCCCCTGGTTTGGCTGGCCTGGCTTGGGCCAGGCCTGCAAGACAAAACACGCTTCATCGTTCTTTGGCGGTGTGATGGCAACCAACCCGAGCCGCGCAGCCTGCGCGAAATTCCGCACAATGTGATAACAACAAACTAGTTATGAACGCCGCTTGACCTGGCTGAATGGGTGTTTGCCCTGCGTGGGGCAGGCTCAGTTTGCTGCGCCCTCTCGCCAGGATTCTCCAAATGTGCATATGGTTGGATGTTTGATTGGAAGGGCTTCTGGCTGCACAAGACGCAGAGTGGGTGTGGTTCAGGCGCTGGATACCGTAAGGCGCCTGGAAGTCAAACAAATGCAGGGGCCTATTGCTGCCATATTGCGTGGGCCACCCCAGCGCTCGCCAGCATTCCCAGAAGGTACGTGGGCAACTTAGGGCCATGTGCCTGTGGTTTGTTTTGCTGTGTCAGTTCTGTTTTCTGCCCGCATGCATTTGCGAAGAGTTCACCTTGAAGAACAGCTACGAACTTCATCCCTGCCATCACCTCGATCACCACCACCTGCAACTTCATCCATTGCTTACTTCACCATCTTCAACATGCCATCATCAGCGCCATCCACATCATCATGCGTTCAGACTATAGGTCACCCCCGCCCCCTCAACCACAGATATGGGGGTTGGTCTGAAAGAATAGTTTACAATTGATTTATCCATCCCCCTAGGCCAAAAATTCAATTGTATACATGTTGTTTTGGCGTTCAGGTACATACATGCGGCACCAAGACCCAGGATACAGCCAAATCACAAGCTAACTCTGTTGGTTGAAAAGGGACCTACTTTTGGCTTGTATGCTGGGGCTCTCATTGAAAGGTGTTTTAACATGTTTTGACCCCGGTACTGGCGTCCATTTCATTCAGGGCTTCGTTGTTTGCGTTCATTGGGGCGCACGCCCAATTTGCGGAGATATGCTTGGATCCACTATGCTTTCGAGGGCCTGAGGAATTCTTGGGCCCTTCTAGCTGCTCTAGAATCATTGGGCCTCTTGTCCCATTGATGTCTCAAGTCTATTGATTTTTTAGAAGCAATATACTGCTTATTGCTTTTTCTGACATTGACATGTCTGTTTGATCTTGTGGGCTCGATTCTATGCTACACGCATTTTCTATGTGCCCCTGATTCTAAGCAGGTTTTCTATTTGACCTTATGGACTTATGGGCCCCTGAATCTGAAGGAAGATAATTTTACTGTACACTTGGCACATAAACCTGCATGACTCTCATGTTTTCCACCTTCGTCGGCCAAGAATGGATTTGGCCCGACCGTTCAGCCCGGGTACCGCTCTTGCGCTCTCTTTCCTCGACCGCGCTGCCATTGACCTAGCTCCACCTGCTCCTTACTGCATAGGACCTTACTAAACCTGGGATCCCTGGTCGGTGGGCCTTGGCATCCTCATTGGATTGGTTTTGTTTCCTCTGCTGGATCTGGTGATAGCTTGCCGGGTCTACTTCCAGGTGGTGCTGCGCCGGTTGTCCCCGGCTCCTCGCTCGAGGCCTCTCTACAGGGTCCTGGATCATTGAATGCCTCCCAAAGTGTCGACTGAGGAAGTGGCACAGTTCAGGGACGAGTTGGACATAGATCGGGGGGGAGTGGCAGGATTGCAGCAGCTGCTGCGCAGTGTCCGTGGTGAGGTGCGAGAGCTTCGCGCTTCAGTGCAACAAGTGTTGGGCCAGTCTGAGGTCGTGAGCTTTGGCCTCTGGCCCTTTCACCATCGTGTCCGAGATTCGTGATTCCGAAGCTCAGCATTTTTCAGCTGAGCGTCCAAGGCCTTCGTCAGGAGTCGGAACATGCAGCAGCAGCCAAAGCCGTTGGAGGGTCAGCGGAGGGGAGAGTCCGGTCGAGATTGCATTCCTCAGTCTTCACGGTGCTGGCTGGTCCTTCGAAAGATTGACAACCAAGTGTTTTCCCCCATTCGGGTGTTCAGCAAGTAGCTCTCGCTATCTTGGCGTAATCTGTCTAAGTCCACAGGTGTTCCATTGCGAACTGCACTGGCAAGCCTGGAAATGACTGTGTTGCTTCCTGTACTTGTCTCGCATGTATGTGGAAAATTCCTTGTGGACTGCTTGCAGGACCCACTACAGAATAAGAAACTCATTGCTTCAGCAGGCATTGTTAACCCCTGGTGCGTACAACCTAAGAGTAGGTCCCTTTCCAACCAACAGAGTTCGCTTGTGTTTGGGAAACAGAGACGACTTTCCGCAGAGCCTTCCCCCCAAGGCAGGGTGGCAATCACTCAAAAAAAGTGATGACATTGTCTTTTGCCTGTAGCAAGATGTAGCAAGCCATCCGGGGAAAAAGATGAGTCTCTTCGCCAGCTTCCCAACAGTGGCTTCGCACTCTTCTGGAAGGAAGCCCAACCAAATCTTCAAATTCTGATCTGCGATGTTCATGCGGTCATCCGGGTCTGCCATCGCCACCTCCACAGCTGTCACTTTCGAGAGTGTATTGGGTGGCAAAGAACGGTTGGCACTGAGACGCTGCCATGCACTGAATGGAACGGCCACGAGCAGAGGCCCCTCTAGGCGACTGATGTAAATGACCTGAGAGGAAAATGACGAGGTGTCAAAAGAAAGGATTCCAGCCGGATAGAAATGATCCACCCGACCCTCTTGAAACACGTAGGGCAAGGAGTTCTCTGCGCCGAAGCGCTCGTCGCCCTCGCCCTCTTCTGCCGCTAGCAGCTCGGGATGAATCATCCCTCAATGAGGCCCTCCCACGAGAAGCCTCCTGCCTCAACAGCCAGCTTGATGTCCTCGATGGCTGGAAGGCCAACAAAGACTGAATCTCCACGATCTGCGCCTTGCTTCACTAGCACCTTTGCTGATGCCCACTGGGAGAGCTAGTGGGGTTCTTATTTCCAGTATAGGAAGCTGCCCTCGTTGCAGGGTGTTGCTGCCAGATGTTTGCGGTAGCGCGCTTTGCTGGTACCGCTTTTCTGTCACTGTCTACAAGGTGAGACCCGGGCACTATTGAAGTTATCTGGAAGTAAGGAAAGTTATTTTTATGTTATATGAAAATCAATGAAAATAATTTCGAGATAACTTAAAAAAATCTCTAAAAACGTTCCAAAAAAGACTGACTTTGGTTGAAAATGTTTGTTTATGTGCAAAACAGGTAAATCCGTGTGTGTTTTCAGGACTTTCGTTGATTCTTGATCTTTTGTTAAACTTGATTATCCTTAGGCCGCAAGTTTTTATATTGTAAGTCGATGTTAAAAAGTTGTAAACAATAGTATATCTTCAGAGACGCAACGACCGCGCGGGCTCGGGCAGTTTTTACCGCGAGTTGGCCTGCCTGCTCTGCGCTCTGCGGCGGCGACCTGTCGCGAGCACTCCACGGCGCCCCACTCCGCAGGACATGCACAGACAGCGCCGCGGCGCGGCCGCAGTCAGTGCATCATTCCACGCAAGTCATACCACGCTGCGCTCCCCCATCACAACGCCACCACGGGGAGATCCGACAAACACACGGCCTCAAGTCTCCAGAGGGCGTTTCGGCCACAACCGCGAAGACTTTGCGGTGTTGCTTACAATCCTGGTTTTGTTATAGCTAGTTAACTAGTTAACATCAGTTGTTCCTAATTAGCAACTATGTGTCGGCTATGTGTGAACTATGTATAATTATTATTACTATAATAGTTACATGATGTTAACATGAACTACTAAGCTTTAGACCTTTTTAGCTATGTCATCATAACTATGTTAACTCTCTATAACTTTTCCTGTGTTTTTAAACAAGAAACATATTATATTTTTAGAAAAGTTGTATTACAATTTCAACATCCACATATTGTAAAACCTATGTTGTTTTGTTTTTTATGTGCATGGGCTTTTAGTTTCTTGATATCGAAAAATTGAAATGGAAATGTTTTTCTTGACACACGCTTCAGATTTGTAAACAATGACAAATTCTGCAAAGAAGATCTCATCAAAAACCTTCATGAACCTATATGGTATTCCATGAGGCCATTCTGTGTTTTCACACAACGTTGCTGAACATGCTGGCCACTATATGGGCATTCACATGGCCACCATGGCCATTCATGTTGCACAGCTATGTTGTTTTGCAAAGCCAAGTGTGGCAAAAGCACGCCGCACCATTTTGCAATCTATATTATATATTGCTCATACTTTCAAAGGCTCTCATAGTTCCAAGGCAGCAGCCACAGCCATGGTCGAGATTTCCACAAGGGTCCAGGTGCAGTACTATGAAGAGAAGCCCATCACCATTCCTGAAGATTTGCTTCGGTCTTTCCAAGACCAAAAATAGCTGCAGCTGAGGGCCACTTGCTTTCCAATTTTCCAATTGGTGACTGGTCAAAAACTTCCCAAGAATGCCAGCCTGGCCCAACGCAGCAACCTTCAGGAGTTGATTGCAGCCAGAAACCAGAAGCTTGCTGAATTGGGAACATCAATGAAAGCCAGGACCAGCAAGCGGCCTTTGTCTGATGACCAAGAAGATCCTCCACCAACGAAGAAGAGGTGCAATGGATACCAAAGGTTTGCGCTGACCATACCAGTGGGCCAAACAGGCCAAAGCATTTGGTCCTAACCATGCCAGTAAGCCAAACAGGCCAACAATGCCTGGTAACAGGTCTAAGGCCAACCAGAAGTGACCTGTACATATTGTTGGAGCCAGAAACTACCAAACCTGTCTCCAATTTCTGAGGGAAACCAGCTCAGAAGCTTTGCACAAGCCAACCAGGCAGTACAAGAGACACAAAGCCAGCCATTGACCTTGTGTGCACCATGCAGCCCTGGAAAAAGAGATGCATTCTATGGGGAAGCCATAACAAATTTGTTTGCAATTGTTCTTGTGGCATTTGACAGGGTGCAAACCATGTGCAGCCAAGTGGCAACTCATGATTGCAGCCAAGCGGCAACTCTTGATTGCTGGCTCCATTCTTCAATGATTGCTTATTTGCTACTTCTTTCAAAGCCAAATGCATTTTGCACACATTTGCAACCAGGTATATGCAAATTCCAAAACAAAACATGCCCATGTATAACCACCAAAGACTTGTACACAGGCAGAAGACAGCCACGGCTTTACCCACCACATGCTGCCAAGACCATTGCTTCCAGCAAAGGCATCAACCAGAAGGTGGAAGAAGTTGACCAAGTCTTGGAGCAGGCTGAGATGGTTCATAGAATGACCATCACACCATCCCAGTTGCTGATTCACCCAGACAACCGTGGAGGCACCATGGCCTCCTACCATGATGTGTGGACCAAATGTCTCCAAATGGTGTCAGCTGGGGTTAAGAAGGAGCTCCTCCAGGACTCCATAGCCATTGAGCTTTCCAAGAGCCACAAGAAACAGCACCAGGTGCAGAAGAACCAGCAAGTGGTCCAAGAAGCCCAGG